GACCCTAGCACTCTCAGTGGCCGAGGCAGGTAGATTGGCTGAGTGCATGGGTTTGAGACCAGCCTGAGCAGGAGCAAGACCCCGACTCTAAAAATAGCCAGGGGCTGTGGCAGGTGCCTGCAGTCCCAGCTACTTGAGAGGCTGAGGTAAGAGAATCCCTTTAGCCTAAGAGTTTGAGGTGATGCCAAGGCATTCTATTGAGGGCGACAAAGTGAGACTGTCTCAAAAAAAAAAAAACAAAAAATCGACATCTTGTGTTTATTTGATTATGAGTGTAGGTCCCCTATTGTTAGACAGTTGTTTCCAGTTTTACTGTTTTTTGCCTCAGCCTCCCAAGTAGCTGGGACTACAGTCGCCCACCAAGATGCCCGGCTGTTTTTGGTTGTAGTTGTCATTGTTGTTTGGCAGGCCTGGGCTGGATTCGAGCCCACCAGCTCCTGTGTTTGTGGCTGGTGCCCACCACCAAGCTACAGGTGCCAAGCCATCCGGTTTTTACTTTTGAGGCCCTGTGTTCTTTCTTGCCTTAGGAGAAATTCAGGATCTGGAAACCACTAGGATTTGATGTTACATAGAAGTACCAACACAAGGTCTAATTACATATTGGCAGTCTTCAGTGGTGTTCCTTAATTATGCCCCTGTCTTTGAGGTCAGGTCTTGATTACATGTCTGTAATGTGAGGAATTTTTATTTTCATGTCTTAATACCATTGAGTTATGGGGATACCATGAGGCAGCCTCTGACCTGCCCCTCTCTATTTGCACTTGAATTTGCCCCGAGGTGAAGTACTCAGAGATTCTTACTGACGGATTCTAGAACTTTTCGCCTTGGTTGCTCATGTGGCATTTTATATTTATTATTTTTTTTAGAGACAGGGTATTGGTGTTCAGCCAGGTTGAAGTGCAACTCCTTGTCCTGGGTTCAAGAAATCCTGTGTCAGCCTCTGCGTGAGCTGCAACTCCGGGGCTGTGCCACTGAGCCTGGCTAATTCTTTTAATGTAGAGATGAGGCTCACTACATTGCCTGCAGTGGACTCAAACTTCTCAGCTCAAGTGACCCTACCATGCTGGCCTCCCAGAGTGTTGGCATTAAAGTTGTGAGCCGCCACACCCAGCTTCATTTGGCATTTTAGATGGATGCTGAAGCTTAGCTTTCCTAATTCCTAGCTGGAATTCCAGGAGCTGTGCACTTTGAGAGCTTGCTGCTGTTTCCATGGTAGCCAAAGCTTCATTCTGACCCTACTGGATTAAACTAGCAAATCTACGCTGTTAGGAAGAAGAAAAACCCTCACTGCCTTTTAATTAAAAAGCAAAAAACCTCCTACTCGGCTGATTATGGAAATCACAGAAACTATATAAAGGTCAGAGTGAAACGAGCAAGTCTTTATTACTTTCTCAGCAGCTAAATGGTGCAGAGTGTGTCCCCGGACTCAGTCTGTGCTTGTTTCAGGGTGATGACTTAGCTGCGTAATCACTGCTCTCTCTGTCTGATGCTGCCCTGTTCCCTCCATATCTACTTTGGTGGAAGTTAAAGAGTGATTTTTGTTCTGAAAGATGCCACACTTCAAATCCTAACACCTTGCCCTCTGAATTTTAGCCAGTGGAGCAATAAATACTTTGATATGAGTCGCCATAAAAACAATTTACTAAGGCAGAGCGTGGTGGCTCATGTCTATAATCCCAGCACTCTGGGAGGCCAAGGCAGATGGGAGTTTGAGATTAGCTTGAGCAAGAACGATACCCCGTCTCTAATAAAAATAGAAAAACTAGCTGGGCTTTGTGGCAGACACCTATAGTCCCAGCTACTTGGGAGGCTGAAGCAAGAGGATCTCTCAAGCCCAGGAATTTAAGGTTGCTATGAGCTAGGACGCCATGGCATTCTATCCAGGTGACAGAGTGACACTTTGTCTCAGAAAAACAAACACAATTTATTGTCATGTAAGCTGTCACGGGAGCACACCTGCTACCCCCAGATATCTCCTTGTGTTCACTTTCAATCCCATATGCTGATAGGTGGGTTGAGGGGGGTGTGAGGGGAACCTGGAATCTCTTTGGAACAGGGTTCCCAGTGGTGCTGGCAGGAGGCTGTTTGGCAGGAAGAACATACCTATGGGCACAGCAGAGTGGGGCTTTAGGTAGCTAGCTCTTGATTATTTATATATAGTGTTGTCCAACTGGGATACTCTGCAGGTGCAAAGGGGCATGGTAGTAACCATGCTGAGATGATGGTCGCAGCGAGGGGCCGTCTGGGTAAAGCAGACGTGTACCGTGTCATCTGTAGCCTGTATCTTGGGACAGTTGCAGTGCAGATTCTTGGGCCCCTTTCCAGATGGCCCTGGATGGAGCCCAGGACTCTGCAGTGGAGGGCAGTACCTCAGAATCAGGTGCCTTGTTGAAATGTATGGGAAGTTAATTTTACATGTCTTTAGCCCACTCATCTTAGACCTTGTGTGATCAGAGGAAAACATCCTGTGTTCCGAGGACATGTATGGTACCTGGTGAGCAGATAATTTCAGATACGGGTGAGTGGTGCACACATGACAGCATGACCATCCCTTCATATTCTTTTTTTTTTTTTTGAGACAGTTTCACTATGTCACCCTCACCATAGAGTGCTGTGACGTCACAGCTCACAGCAACCTCCAACTCTTGGGCTTAAGCAATTCTCTTACCTCAGCCTCCCGAGTAGCTGGGACTACAGGCGCCCGCCACAACACCTGACTATTTTTTGTTGTACTTTTCATTGTTATTTTAGCAGGCCCAGCCCAGGCTCGAACCTGCCAGCCTAGGTGTATATGACTGGCGCCGTAACCACTGTGCTATGGGCGCCGAACCCAAGCTCATTATTTATAATATGTGAATATAAGGACAAAGCTTTTCTTTATAAAAATAAACTTTTTAGAGGAGTTCTAGTTTCAAAGTCAAATCTAGAGGCAGATTTCCCACATGCTTCCCGCCCTGCCCTGCTACCTGATTAGAAAAATGTTAGAAGTAGTTTAAGGGGGTGAGTAACCCCATCTGTGCCTGTTAAGGGGTGGATGTAAAAAACACAGCTATTCCAGCAAACACAGCATCACCTGTGACACACAGCATCAGGCAGACAGGTTTGCACATGTGCGTGTGCTCCAGAGTATGCCTGGGGGCTAGGAACGGAGAAGGACCTGTTTGCAGCCGCAGTGCAGAGCATGTGGGCAGCACACACTGGACTGCCTTCCAGGAAGGGTCACTATGGAATACTGTGACTATGATGCAGATCTCAACCCCAACCAGGTTGGGGTGCTGGCAGCAGCCCCTCCCGTTACCTTTTGATGGGATTAAGTTTACAGCCAGCTTTTCCCTCAGCAAATTGTAGGAAGTCATGTGTTTTGGCATCACTTGCTCTTAAATTAGAAACAGGACAATAGAGGAAGTTGTTGATTGGAACAATTGTAGTTTCACTTGTGTGAGTTCATCTGCAAATCATAACAAAATTGTTGTCCCTGAATGTTCTGACGATCACTGGAACAGGCTCCAAAGGGAAGCGGGTCTTTCTGTGCTGTGGAAAACCTGTCTTGGAAGTTTTACTGGTCTTTTGAGTAAACTATAGCAGATTAGGTCACAACGTATTCTTAAACTTCTTCACACTTTAAACAGCTTGAGCGGAGGCTCACAGGCACTCAGAGCCTCCCAGCGCGGGGAAGGAGGGCATGGTCCTTCTTGTGCCATGCTCTAGGAAGGGCGCTCCCGGCTGTGTGCTGCAGAAGAAACATTTCAACGTTGGCAGAGGTGCTGTGGCCTGTACATGAAATAGCTTCCTCCCAGAAGGTGGCTTTGTGTCTCAGTGGTTCCCTCCTCTGTGTGAGGACATACCTGGTGCTCCATGGTCAGCCATTGCCACCTGTCCCTGCGTTCTCCTTCCTTTTCTCCTTAGGGCTTCTTTGCTTCCATTTCTTGTAGGCCCTGGAGATGGAAAGATGGCATCCCAAGAAAAGAGAAGGGTTTTGAACTTTTCTCGTAGTCTTTGTGTCCACATGGGTCCTCGTTCCAGGCCTTGAAGAGGGCTGTGGTTGAATTCAGTCTGGGAACCACCTAACCTGAGTCTTCATGGGACATACCCTGTATTCTCAGAACTTGCTGCTGCCTTTCCCATGTGCCTCAGATGCAGGGCCCATCCTCTGGCCACAGCCCTCTAACAAACACATGACAGTGGCTCTTTGGCTCCTCTTCCAGAGGGCCGGGGCGCCACTACCCGTATGCACTCTCTTAGCAGCTTTACCCTTTGGTAGGTGGTGTGACCTTATTTTTAAGTATAATGCTTAAACTTTTAAATTATGAAAAATATTTTTAAAATAATAGGTATTTCTTAAAATGTTTACAGAATCCCCAGGGCTCTGCAGAAATAGTTTTGGGAAACAGGAATCAGGTGGGACTCTACTGTGAGCAGTTGTCACCCCTCAAACCACAGTGGCCAGATGGGTGTGTATCCTTAAGGAGATTCAGCGTTCACTGAGTGTGTTGATTTGGGCTGTGTTAAAGGCCCTGTTTGGAACATGCCTCACTGTGTCACTATTGGAAGCTTTTTTTTTTTTGAGACTAGAGTATCACTACGTCACCCTTGGTAGAGTGCTGTGGCATCACAGCTCACAGCAACCTCAAATTCTTGGGCTTAAGCGATTCTCTTGCCTCAGTGTCCCAAGTAGCTGGGACTACAGATGCCCACCACAATGCCGGGCTATTTTGTTGTTGTTGTTATTGTTGCATTTGTCATAGTTGTTTAGCTGGCCTGGGGCTGGGTTTGAACTCAACAGCCTGGGTGTGTGTGGCCTGCGCCCTACCCACTGACTGTGGGCACCGCCCCATTGCCCGTTTTGAAGCTTGCATTGGGTTAGCACTTCAGACTAACAGCATTATGTGGATAAGTTCAAAGGTATGAGACATGCAGGAAGGAGACTTTTGTACTAATTAGCTGCTACTTGAAAACAATCCAGAAGATGCTAACAATGTTTGTCGTTTCCATCATTATAGATGACAGTGGAGTTACCTGTAAACTCTCCTCACTGCCACTGCCTTTGCGCTGCCTGAGGAGGGAAGCTGCTGTGTTAATGCCTAGACTTCCTGAGTGACAGGTGAGCCTCACCACGCTCACGTCATGCCATGAGGGCTCAGGGAGGCCTCGCTCGGTGGCTGGTCACCCAGATCACCTGGTGCGACTGTTCAGGATAGCAGCAGGGTGGGGTGCCTTGCTAGCTGAGATAGCCCTGCAGTATTGACACTTATCCACTGGTTATCCTCATTCATTCATTCAATTCATTTGTACTTTCAGCATCCCCACCAAGCTCCTGCTGTGTGGCCAGGCCAGAGAGTGGGAGGGGGCCCCCCTTTCAGGGGCAGACACTGGGAGATCTGAGAACAGATGAGAAAGTGGGTGATGGTCTTTGCCTCTTTTTAATCTTTGCTAATAAATGTGCATGCAGAATGTTTTTATTGGGGTTGGGGTGGGAAGGCAGGCACTTGGAGGGGTAAAGCAAACTTGCAGGCCCGTATCTAAATGGCCAGCTTTTATATTCAATATCTAATTAAAAACAAAAAGAAAGTGGGTGATGGAATCTTGTGAGGGTTCCTCACTGCCTGGGAAGGGCTTTGTTAGGCATCTCAGTAGCAGGGCTCACCCATTCCCCAAGGGGTCCAGTTGAGCCTGGACAACTGGACTCAGGGTAGTTGAGTTGAAGGCAGGAGGGGCAGGAGGCAGAGCCAAACTCAAGGGCGCTGGAGGCCTGTGGACATCATGTTGCACAGGGGGAGAGATCCAGGGTGCACGTGCTAGGCGTGGTCCTTTTCTTTGGAGTTCCCTGGCCTGCTAAAAAAAAAAAAAAAAAAAGCCTGTAATCCTAGCACTCTGGGAGGCCGGGGTGGGTGGATTGCCTGAGCTTATAGGTTTGAGACCAGCCTGAGCCAGAGCGAGACCCTGTCTGTAAAAATAGCCATGTGTTGTAGCAGGTGCTTGTACCGGCTCCCAAGTGGTCCCAGCTACTTGGGAGGCTAAGGCAAGGGAATCACTTGAGCTCAAAAGTTTGAGATTGCTGTGAGCTATGACGCTCTGGCACTCTACCAAGGGTGACAAAGTGAGACTCTGTCTCAAAAAACAAACAAACAAACAAATCAGCTCAAATTTTGCTTTCCAAAGAGAAAATGAAAAGGAGGGAGACTAGCAGCTGAACAGGAAACAGAGCACCCCAGCCCAGTGTTCTAACCATTGAAGTATGGGCACCCAGCCTGAGCTGATTTTTAGAAGTATAGCAGAGGCAAGTTTCAGAGGCTCTCCAGCAGAGTGACTGACCCTCTGTTCTGAGGGGAGCCCTCCTACATCTATCTGTGCCATCAGCACCACTGTGCCACTGTAGACACAGGCCCCTCAAGTCCCTGAGGGTTTGATTTGGTGAATGCCTCAGCTTCCCTGGGTGAAGCGAAGCTCTCCTGCTTGGAATCTGAAGCTGACTCCTCAGCTCTCTTGGCTGGACCTCAGGTCTGTACACCCTGGGAGGGAGGTGCCAGCCTTGGTAGGGCTTTGTGTACGCTCCTCAGCCACCCTCACACAGCCTTCTCTTTGCAAATAAGCAGCTAAAAACTGTCCCAATTCCCTCTCTCTCCTGGTTCTGGTTCTGTTTGAAGACTGACAGAGACTGAACCGCATATGCGGCTGGGGGTGTGGAAGGCAGTGTAGGCCCTCCTGTCGGCCACCTTCCCTGAGATTCTGCCAGGCCAGTCAGGGCCAGCAAGCTGTGGTCTGGGGCTGCACTTGGAGGACTGAGCCGCAGGCAGAGGATGGGTTTTGCAGAGCCCCCCATAGAGCCCACCCTCGGAAGACCCACGTGCACTCACACAGAGGTTGGCTGCCTGGGCTGAGGCTAGGGCTGAAGTCATTCTCCGAGTTAGGCACAGACACAGCATGGGACCAATGGCCTACTGAACAGAACCAGAGTATAACATTTATGATTCAGTCCTGAGGGCTCCTTAGAAAACTAGCCAGAATCCCAGACAATTTGGGCTTTACAGACATGTCTGGACACACTTGTTTCTCATAAGAATGACTGCTCTTACCTGATGGAAGGAGGTAGTTAAAATTATTGACCTATTTTGGTGTAAGGTTGACCATAAGAGAACTCATGACAATTTCTCTTAGAATAGGAATGATTCAGAAGGATAGTGATGGAGCAGGAATAGCAGAGTGTTAGTAATTGTTAAAGCAAGAGGATTTACTGGGCTATTCCATTTACACATGTCAGAAGTAGTTCCAGGATAAGGTATTTTAAAAAGCAATATGTAATATATTCCAAAATAACTGTTTGGAAATAGTTGTTTTAATTGAGATGTTTGTATAGTAGAGAAAGTTGTGTAAATTTGGAAGACTTGTCAAGTAAGATCTGCTGTTTGCAATTGTAGTGAACTTTTGGGACATAAATATAGAGAAGGATTTACCAGAACCTTTGATTCCCAAGGAATCAGGAGGGATTTTAGTTTTGGGGGCTGCATGAGAGGCTGTAGAAGGAACTGGAAGGCGAGTGCTAAGTGCAGGGCTGTCTTTGGGAACCTCCTGAGGCAGAACTCTTGCTGGGACAAGTGTGGAGCCCC